TTACGTTATTAGTTAATTCGAACAAGATTTTGTTCACCAACTTGCCGGTGTCTCGTATGCGCGCTTATGTGAGGGTGACTGATGGGGGGCGCATGGAGAGGACGGGACCCTGAACCTGACTTGGGCGAAGAAGAACAAAAGTTGGGATGCTTGCATGTTCACGCATTGTTGGGAAATCGGGACAAGATCTGCCCCTCCAAATGCGTTGCATTCTCAGCTTTCTCAGCTTTTGGGGGAGACCTAGGGGGGGCACGGGTTGCGTTGGCCAAGGTGGTGTTCTACCCCAAAGGCCCCGCCCCTCTATTTTGGGCATCAACGGAAAGAAGGAGGGTTCTGACAAGCACAGCTGGGGTAAGGCAAAGGTTCAGACTTTTGTGAAAAGTTTGTCGTCGTCGAGATGCATGCATGCATGCATGCAGACGGGCACGCACGATGAGAGGGCAGAAAAAAAAAAAAAGAGGAAAAGAAAATTAAGGGTCCCGGAAACCGGTCTGTCGGTCGGTCGGTCGAGTCGGGTGGCGAAGGTTGCGATGAGTAGTCAGGAGAGCATCAGCATTTTTCAAGTCAGCACTCTGCATGCAAGGCATGACGGTGGAAAAGCAAAATATGCGGTTAGGAGCTTGGCCTTGGGCTGGGCGGATGATGGTCATGGGCAGGCGTGGGAGTGTCCAAGACTGAAGACGAAGGAGAAAATGCCAAGTATGCCACCGCAACGACTGCTACCTGTCAGGCAGCAAGCAAGAAGAGAAGAAAGAAAAAATACGAATGCCATCCTTGGCGATGCGTTGAAGCTATATCGACCGCTGCCGATTTCCTAAATAGGTATCTGGCCGTCACGATTCCAAGACAGATCGTGTAAGTGGTCTAGATGGAGGGCTGTAGAGCTAGATTCGTGCTGCCCACCACACACACCCCTTGGCCTCTTAGCCTTAAAAACTTGTGAGGAAAACGAAGAACAGACAAAAAAGGTGGGCGGGCTGTAACAGAGACAGCCCGACCGACACCAGACATTGCTCACACACGGACAAGACACGCGAACGCTGGCGCAAGAACTCAAGAAGGGGGGGTTTTAACATGAGGCGGAAGTTCTAGAAGGCCGGGTTCATGGATCGATGCGTCCGTCCGTCGGGTACTGCGCGGTCGGGCGGTGGTGACACTGGCCAGAAAAGTCTGAGCGGGCCTTGTGCTGATGGTCTGCCAACTGCCTGTCCTGTCTGCCCCCGGGACGCGGTGCGTTTGCTGGATCGTCGGTGTGGTGGTAGGAACAACCCAAAGGACGAGGCAGGGCAGAGCCGGCTTACACGTTGCGCGAGGAGTGACGGCTCCGTGTGTAACATGCACACCACATTTCCATCCCACAGTCCCCCCACCACCGCCCAGAACACGGACCAACTGCTACTTTGCCAAAAAGTCGGCCCTTCGCCCGTGAGGGGTGCTGGTTTGGCTGCCGCCCACTCGCACGGACGGCAACGTCTGAACGCCGGGGCAATTCTAGTCCTGTCGACAGGCAAGACAGATGTAACGGCGGCCAGATGGGTTCAACCGGTCCCCGAGTCCAGGCCAGAGGTTTCCGGATATCGTTTCGCCAGACGCGAGAGGCACGATGAGACCCAAGGACAGCGAGCTGCAAGCACCTCGGGCTCGGTAACCATGATTTACCTATCTGCCAGGCAGCGGCTGTTGAGAAAAAAAGAAACAAAAATCCTAAAAGCCAGGCTTCCCTTATTTGATATATAGAATTTGGGTTGGCAGCTATCACGTTTGATGGGGGGAAAGGGTCGGGCGGAGGGAGGGTGGTTGGTGCTCCATGGTTACTGGGCATGGCACCATCCGGCGCTGGACTGTTTGAGGCTTCGCGGAAGTGTGAGTTACGCGTCCTGGGGTAGAGCGCGTTGAGAGTAACGTCGCATGGGCGTTTGTAGGGGTCGTGTTGGAGGCCAAAGTTTGAGCTGAAGAGCTTTTTTTTTTCCTGCTCCAGAAGGGCTAAACAGCGCAACAGGCTTCCAAGGGTTTGGGCATTTTGACTTTGCTCCTGAGAGTTGTAGTAGTAAGAACCCAGCTCGAGCGTTTTGCAGCTTTGCATCTAGCCTTGCGCGGCGCATGAAGCGTTACATGGAGGCTACGGGCTCGCTGTGCGCATAATCAGAAGGGGGGAAGTTTGCTCTGCGTGTGGATTCAACTTTTTGTTTCTCGTATTTAGGCGTGACAGACCGATGCCGGCCAGCAGGAACTTTGCAAATGGGCAGAAATGCGATTGTGAGCCTAACTTTGCAATGCCCACATCTAGATCTTCGTACCAACAGACACTCGTCTCCCGTGTCGGCATTCGGAGACGGACAAAAACGATGTCACAGAAGCAAAGAAGCGTGTGCCAGATGCTCGATCCCTGCCTTGCAAGGAGACACTGAGAGGCAGGGAGGGTGTGGCTTGCCACTCACAGCTGGCAGGGATGAGAGCCTGAAATGCGGCTGAGCATCCCAAAGAGGATGGTGGGGATCGCCTCTGCCGTCTGTGCCCCCCGGCTCGAGTACGTACCCATCCCGGATTGGCGCTCGGTGGCTGCCGCGGAGCCGGGGGGTTGAGGGGCTCTGAGGCGGTGCAGCTGCTCCGGTACCGTCGCACTTTGAAACGAAACATTTTGTGGGGAGAGAAGATCGCGGTGCGGAGACGCTTCGCGCCCGTATTGGTCGAGATACGAAACCGGGGCCTCTCTCCGGAAGGAGCTCCGGAGGGGACAGCCGTTGGCACCGCTGCCACTTCTGCCACTCCCGAAAAGGGGGGGAGGAGACCCGCGGATGTGACCGAGACTCAATTCCGCCCTGATGCTCTTTGTACTGTCATTGGTCCGCGGGAACGAGCGACGAGATCTGACGTGGTTTGGCGAGGGGATCGTGTGGGAAAAGGGATTGGACACCCGTTAGAGGGGATCAGCGGCGCCGAGTTTGGGGTCCATTGAAGATGAGTCGGTTCAGCGGCCACGTCCCAGAGGGGTTTGACAGGTCGGATGGGAACTCTGGCCTGGTGTTTGTGTGAAAAGGGCACACGCTGCATATTCTAGGTAGCAGCTACTTGGACGCACGATATGCGCCTAGCCACTATGGGAGGATATCGCCCGACCTGCACTGTGGCTGCTTAGTTAACATTTAGCACCAAATATGCGATCCCAATGGTGCAGTCGGCCGAGTTGGTGCTTGCAGTATACAAGTTGGACTCGCCGTCGAACCCTTGGACCTGCGTCCGCCCGAGGCATCTGCTCAAGGATGACCGGGCTCGGTCTTCTGTACCATCGAGTCGCCGCGTCTCGATATTCGCTTCTCGCATCCCGACAAATGGAATTCACGTCCATCGCCCGGCTCCGGGGTCGCCTACGCGGAGATTCGATGGGCCGCTGTCAGACGCCATTGGCTTGCAGGGGACTAACGGCCCGGATGACGAACAATGTTGGTGGTGGTGGCGTGGCTCGATCCAGATGCTGATTGCGGGTGGCATCCGGGTGCCTGGTAACAGGGACGTAAATATCGTGGGGGCTGCTCTGCTTGGATCCATGTGCCTTGCATGGTGCTTCGTGCCTGGAACAATCATTAGCGTACGGTCCGAACGTTGTCTAGTTTGACAAATACTCGTGTAAGATAGTGTTTCCGAAGAACACGATGTCTTCACGTCGAAAAACTCGCAAAGTCTGATATCCGGATGCTCGATCCGCGGTGGAACCGGCGTTGGATCGCACAATAGCACTGAGCCTCCCGAGAAAGGCAATACAAACGTGTCTCAGATTCGTATTCGTTCTTTGTTAGCCACAGCGAATGGCAGCTTCGTTTGTTTGAGCATCTGAGAAGACCCGTTTGGGTCAAATTTAGTGAGGCCGCGTTGTTTTGGTTAAGCCAGAGTAGATCGCCGCTTCGAAGGTAAAGTGGCAGGTGGCTAAGGTACAGACCTATCTGGCACCCGGTGGAAGGCAGGTCCTTCTGGGCCGAAAAGGCAGCCAAGGAAGGAGGACGACCATAAGTGCGGTGCGCCTCCCTTTGAAGTGAATCGACAGCTGCCCATGCGCGTTTGAGTAGCACAGCTGAAGTTGGGCTCAGCGAGACACCTGTTTGTTAACAAAGGATTTGATGTAAAGTGACAGGTAGATTGAAAAGAACCCCACCTTCCCATAACTTGAGACCCTGAAGCTCAGTGTCCAGCGTATCAAAATGACTTGCGAGGTACCTAGACGCGTGGCGACTTCCCCCAGACGCATTCTCCCAGTCGGTCCAATGCTGATTTTGGGTTACTTCCTGACAGCCTGGTTTCATAGAGGCCAATATTGAGGGAGCTCTATGAATGCGTTGAGGGCATAAATTGTAGATACTGGCGGATGACTTGATGTCGCAAGACAGCTTGGCATTTCACCGGGGTCTCTATGTGTCGCCAGTGTCCCCCGTGACAAACACAGAGAATTGAATAACATAGCACGAAAACGAATTACGAATCAGAATGGATACTGTTCTGTATAGAATATAGGAGGCGTATTCCGTAGTCGAATGTGTGGGGCCGGAACCTCACCTTCGCCCTAACGTCCTTGATATTGAACCTAGCAGCGCTGGGCTCTTAAATACGAAGCACATGGTCTAGCTGATTGAGTCTTCTTTCAGAGAAACGTAAACAAAAGTCGTTTAGCTGAAGTTGACAAATCCAGTTCGAATCTCACTATCGAAAATTATAATACAACTGATCAAGAATAAAAACGTTGTGGACTGGAAGTAAAGAAACTCTCAGCAGCCAGTTGAGACTGACTTCGGCGAAAGCCCCAGCCACAAAAAGAAAATCCTGTGCACATTTTTTTTCTCTGTGATGTTTTCTTTCGGTCACTTTTGCGCATTTTTTTTTTTTTTTTAGGGTGGGGGGTTCTACAATCTAAAATGGTGATAGACGTATGTTTCCTGCTTCTGTCACGGAGCTGGGTGTCTATCTAAGGGCCGTCGTAGCTTTGGTCGCCCTTGCTTACCTGAGTGGCTCCTTTAAAAGACCAGTCTCTCCTGGGAAAAGTCAGCAACCCCTCTCCATAAGTTCTCAATAGATAATTTGTAAATAGGCAAGGGGTTCGGTCAGAAACATAGAGGTCGAAATGAGTATTAGATGCATAAATGCCAGCAATGATCAGACGGCCGACGGTTGTATTACTTCCATCGATGAAAAAGAAAGGATGTCACCAATTCGTTGTAATTACAGTCCTTATTCATTACCTCAAAGTATGGGCTTGGGTTTGGGTTGAGAAGATGAACTTAGCCGGACGAAACTCACTTCATCCTCACCCGACTGCAGAATGGGCTCGTCCAGGTCTCCGAGGATGAAATCCAGCATTTGATCCAAGATGAATTCGGGCTCGTCGTGGTCGTCGACTTCCTGAATCGGCTGCTCTTGGTTATTCTCCGCCTCGAGAACGGGAATGTCCGACTGGTCGTCATCCTCGTACTGCTGGAGTCCCTGCTGCTGGAGCTGAGCTTTCTCTTGCGCGCCTCGCTGGACCAGTTCCAACCATGTCATCATTGCCGGCAGACCTTGGGCGATATCCTCGTTCTCGACGATTGGCTCGTTGTTGGGGGGGTGGTCGTGGGCCGGGGGGCCGTCTTGTTCCTGAAAAGGAGGCATGTTGCTGTTCAAGTCATATGTTAGCAAGGGCCAGAGAAAAAGAAATTCGAACAGGAAATGAGATGTTTTTGGCAGATGCGATGGAATTTTCTCACTTTGATGTTTTCTCTTCTTGTTACGACGAGAAAAAATTGGTGGTGGTGGTGGTGTTGTTGTTATGATCGAGTGCGAGTGTAAGTGAGAGGGGGCAGAGGGAAGGCAATCGAGAGATAGTGGGGCGTCCCGACGCAGCTCAGCGTAACGGTCGAGCTCAGTGTCTTTGCTCGTATTTCTCTGTGGCAGTCAATACTTAGGGATTTTTATTTTGCAACTTCCGGCGAGGCACTCCGGTGTGCGGTCTGGGGCCTGCAGCCTTTGGGTCGTCGCTCAGCTATCACCGGGCACGTCTTGAGATTCCCGGCAGCCAGTTTCACTGATGCCACATAAATACGAATCTTACTTATTACTGAAGGCTGCATGGGTGCTCTCTTACTGTCTCTTTTGAGAATCAGTGAGTATATGAGGCAGGGCGTCCCGAAGCACTCATCAAGCCGCGCTGCTGTCTCGTTGCACTATTTTGTCATTTTCTTTCCCCCCCACACACGGGCAAATGAAGCCGGTGTGCTGTATTACATGACGAAGAGAAGAAAATGAGAGTAGATGCCCAGAAGTCGACTTCCTTCCAACGGCGAAAATCTTCGTGGGTGTCAACGACGACGTTCTCAGGCTCGAAATTCTGACCGCGAATCGTAAGCAAGTGTTATTACAGTTCATGAGTGAGCTTGAACGGATCAAACTCACTTCTCCCTCGCCTGGCTTTGGCCCGGACCTTCAAGACTGCCGTCTTCTTCTTACTTCGTTCTGGTCCCGGCCCCTTTAATACGTGGAGCGGGACGCTGGGTCAAAGAAAGCGGGACAGCACTGTAGTCTAAGATAGGCCGATAGACAAAAAGCACAAAGAGGTCGTTCAGGGTGTAAGGCAGGCAGTGAGTCTTGGGCCTTCCTTCCTGCGTGGGCAGTGGGCAAGCTGGGGCAGGCACGGGGTGGTCACGCTAAGCGAGACGTCACTTCTCCAGACCTACCGCGTCAACGTCCTCCTCGCAAGTTCCTGGCTACAACACCACACAACACCACACCACACCACACAACGCCAAGGTATCTATACCACGCAAACCCTCGCGATGAGTATGATACCGATCCAGTATAGCCTCGCGGCTTGGGGTGGTGGCCACGACGGAGATGTCCGCGATGCGGAACAGACCGCTTACCTCCACCGAACTCGACACTACCTCCACGCCTTTTGGCCGAAAGAGTGTGAAAAGGCGGGAGACACCTCAGGTATCGCTTGCATGATGGTGCTGGCAAGACACATGAACAACGGTATCACCGACTACAACGAGGTTATCCCAAATCAAGAGGGTTCCGGATCGATCAGACTGGAGGAGGAAAAGCGCAACCCGCTGCTGCGACTGTCATGGAAGGCGGTCCCCCTGCAGACAAGCCAGCAGTACGAGATGCTCAAGAAGGAGATGGTTCAGGTGGATGGCAACTACAAGAACCAATACTCCTTTGACTTTTGGAACAACTCGGAGTTGATGAGCAAGACCCTCTGGAACCGACAAACGTATCGCCTCTTTGGTTCGATGATGGCGAAGAGCGAAACCGCCGCATGGGAGGCTGCAGAGTCACCCCGATCCCAAGTCATCGAGATCGACAACGCCAGGACCGGAAAGACCGGTTTTGACGTGTTCGCAGCCATCAAAGAGAATTGTGGTTCCTTCCCGCTCGAGGGTACGGAGACTGGAGAGCGATTGGACTTCGCCTGGTGCCCGGAGGTCATTAGAGTCCGATACACCCCCTCAGCCCGCGACGAAAAGCATCTGGACGCTCTACATTCCTTCAACGTCAAGCTACCCTATGGCGTAGACTTTCCGGAGAAACAGAAGTATGAGCAGTACAACCTCACGGCAGCGGTCCGACTCAGAGGAGCCGGTGTCTACCAGGATGATAAGAGGGACCGCATCCGACTCTTCGCGGCAGGCGGCCACGACATCTACCCAGAGGATCCCTCCCCCTACGCCGACATGAAGTGGGACATTGCCGAGTACGGCCACACGTACTGCCTCTAATACAGCCGAACGCGGGCGCACCGGATGCCTCCTCTCACCGACATCGAACGACAAAGCCGAGATGCCTGCGACGCGGGACGAAGAAGCGCCGAATACCGGAAGATCTCTGAGATTATGTCACGCAAGGAAGAGGGCGACAAAACCACCTGCATCTACGACATGATTCATCCCGAGTTGCGGAAGAACTATCCTCAAGAGAGGAGGGTCGTCGATATGAGCGGCTTCCGTCCCTGGCCCAGATCGCGGAGGCGGGTCCCTCCCGCCGTCGCCCCAGCCCCCCCGGAGGTCAACGAAGACGTCGAGATGAAGGATGCTTCTGGTCCCATCACCCCGCAAGCGAAGGACAAAGAAGTCGACATGTACATCTTGTCTGGCCCCGACAGCCCCGAGGACGACGAAGATGAAGTCATGAACGATTCTTCTTTTGCCGACAAACCCGCGCCAATCATTCCGCAAAAGCGACCGGATTCTCACAACGACAACGAAACTGCTAAGAAGAAACGGAAGGAGGATGATACCTCCAATCCAACGGCACCCAAGACACCCAAGGAGTCCAAGGGATCCAGGAAGTCCAAGTCGTCCAGGTCTAAGACAAGGAACCGGGGCCGGGATGCCAGGATGGCATTGGGAGACAGTTCGGATCAGTAGCAAAGCAGCCAGCCTTGTTACCACCAGCGCTGTGGTCGGGATGCAGCTCAGATACGTAGCAAAGCAATCAACTCTGTTACTGCTGCGGTTGAGAGACAGTTCAGAAACGTAGCAGAGCAATCAGCTCTGTTGCGCCAGCAGACTAGAGTAGCAAAGCAATCAGCTTTGGTACTGCTGTGGCTGAGAGACAATCCAGACACGTGGTGGGGCAATCAGCTCTGTTACGTCTGTGATTGTGAAAAGTAGCCGTACATAGCATGAAATACACACTGGCATCAGCTTTCTTCCTTCTTGTGACCCCTTGCTCCGCGAGACTGTCCATTGAACCTCGCAGAACACCGTGATAGATTTGGCCCGGATGATCTGTAAACGCCATCTAGTACCTCACTTGTATCTACGCTGAGTTCCGAGTAACACTAATTTTCGAAGGCACGAGCAACAATCGCTGTCGTCCTTGCCGTGTTCTTCCTTGCTATCTATCCTGTCGTCGTCCTTAGCGTCATCTATAAACCAGCTGTAGCCCTTTTTTTTCTTTTTTTCTGCGTGTCTACTTTTTTCTTTCAAAGGGCCCACAAGTCCTAGCATTCTAAAAGGCTTCTTTTCTTTGATTTGGTGAACAGCAGCAAGAAAGACGTGTTGACTGCGCTGGAGCAGCATGTTGTTCTCGTTAAAGGTCACTCCTGTCTTCTGATTGGTTAGAACGCCGGACGGGCCACCCCCTGTCCCCGTGCCAAGCACCGATTTTGTGGGACCAACGACCGAGAAGCAGCAAACGCAGGTGAGTCTCGAAAATTACTGACCACGCTCTCACCTGGGACCTTTTTTTCCCTTTCCTTTTTGATCTTCATCAACAACACGGATTTTCGTGAATTTGGTGAAACAGCAAGGACGACAAAATGTCATCATCGCAGCCAAACCCCGACTCGGGCGAGAAGCCCACTAAGAACGACAATCGCGCCGAGAACTGGACGCCCAAGGATGACGCAGACGGCTGCGTCACCAGAGAAATCTGGGTCGCAATCTACACCAAGACCTTTGAGGATTTTCTGGGCCCTGAGATCCAGAAGATGTGGAAGCGCGGTATCAACGAGGTGTACGGCTGGGCCCGCAACACCGAGCATCTCGCCTGGATGCCCCGGCGATACGTTGCGCACCAGGTCCTGAAGTTCTGCGCATTTTCACTGAGTAAGTTCATTACACCATCAATGGTTCATCTCGCTGACACCGTGACAGACTTGTGCGACAACAACACCTGGCCGAAGGACTTTGGCCCTGTCGTCATCCAGGATGCGGAGAAGGCAGATCTCGACGATGGCTACCGCGAGTGGCTTGAGATTGCGGCCAAGATCGAGAACGAGAACACTGCCATCTTCAATCACAACCCAGAGACTGAATTGAAGAAGAAGAAGAACCTGACGGAGGATGAGAACCCGAAGGAGAGCCAGGACATTGAGAAGGAGGAATGTTCCGACCCAAAGCAGGAGAATGACTTGAAGCGCAAGTACCAAGCCGATTCTAAGCAAGAAGAGCATGCATCCGCCAACAAAAAGAGGAAGTCCGACACCGAGCAAAACTCCCAGATGAACAAGGACTTGCAGGTTGAGAACACTGCCGATCTCAAGCCAAATGCAAGCAATGCCCCGTCGGCCCCTGAGGCGGCCAACACCCAGAAGCCGATCGTCTGGACTTCACTCAACAGCAAGAAGGATCTTGAGACCTTCAATATCCCTTACCGGATTGCTGAGGCCATCGACGGAGGTAGGAAGGAGCGAGAGGATTTCTTCCAGAAGGCTTTCCTCCCTCGGGATGAGCAAAGCCTGCCTGGAGAGGGCTTTGCCGTGAGAGTTCCGTCCAATGTTCAACAGACGAGTCTCTTTCGGAGCGCTGGCCATATTCAGCTTGCAAACAGAAAGATAAACCCGGCGCTGCAGATTGCCTGGCTCGACTACGAGGGAGAGACATATCTCTTAAGCTTCAAGAGGAACCCGGACGACAATGTCATGGACCTTCTGGATGACTACGTCATGATCTGGGTGGGAATGAAGGAGTACTGCCGCCATCTACGAGTGCGGCCCGCGAACAAACACGTCCAGCTAGCTGACTGGCTTGCTGAAAGCTTTCGCACATACGGCATGAGGACCATAGCACTCATGGGCCTTCATTTCAACAAGCTGGAGAAGGATGATGAGGATAGGCTTGCTCGGTCTCTTGAAACTGAATGCAAGGTCTCGGATGTTCCGCATGATTGCAGCCCGGAACAACACGATCACCACCTCTGGTTTGACGGACTGACCGACCCAAAGAATGACAGCTCTTAGAGTGGCGTGAGCCTATGAGCCACGAGAGTTAGAGGTGTTGGGCGTGGGCCTGAGAACACGATATACCGTATGTACTGTTCGTCAGGCCAGGAAGTACTAAGACAGATTGGGCTGCAGAGTATATCAGACTGAGTATGAAAAATAGATATTCTGCCAGACGCTCCATTCGATGCAACGTGACTTGTGCAAATTGACGACGAATGCTAAGTATGCAATAGATAACCAAGGTAACACCTAAGACGACAGGCAGGCATTAGGCCCGCTACCTACGATCACCTCCTGTTGTACTTTGGTCAGCAAGGGATCATAAGTGCTGTGATCATAGGAATCATTTAGGATGTTGACAGCAAGAGAGTACGACTATCATGATCAACTCTTATACGGATTCGAGATATCTAATCAATCTCAAACATCTGCCCGTTAAATCTTGTAGCGCATGTGAGCGCGTTGGGAAGCCGTTGCACTCACTACCTGTTCGCTATCGCTAACATACTTTCCATCTTTGTTGATGGAACAGGCATGGCAGCAGGTATGGCAGTAGGCATAGCAATGGGCGTGGTGATGGATGTAAAGATAGACATGATAGTAGTCTAAATGTGACGATGGGGCTGAACACAAACGCAAGAGTTTTGGAAAGCTAGAAGGATCAGTATTACATGGGAAGTCTTTTTCCCCTGAGCAAAGGCAAGGATAGTAGAAGCAAATGAGAACATTCTCAGGAGCGTATGAAAAGCGTGAATTTAATTACAACTAAGGGTTCAAGGCGATCATTTATCAGGCTGAGTGCGCTGTTTAGCCATTAGGCAAAACGGTACAAAGCGTAATCTACCTAAACTAAGGTGCAGAATAGTAGAGCAGAGAATATAAGGCGAAAACGGAAGGAATTAGCTGCGAGTATGCATACTTCTTCTTTCTATCCGACAGAAGCTGCCCACAAAAGGTTTGCAGAGGCACCAGGGAAATCCGCAAAGAAACAGAAATCTCAGTCACTCAGCAGCTTTGTTTTCCCATCGACACACACCCATCCACCACCGGCACCACCGACACGACAGTCAAAATGGCGACATACCGCAGAAAACGACAAAACAGTCTTGGGCCTGACGATGAAGCAATCGTCCAGAAAAAAAGCAGAGTCGGCGACGCCTACCGCGATGAAATGGCTGAAGATACTCACATGCCGAGTTTCATTCTCCGGGAAGGCGCCAGCGACAATTTTTCCGGTTCCATTCTCAGCGAGGATTTCACCAATCAAGCCAGCACTTTCTGCACGTCTCCAAACGACCCAAACGTCACCATCTTTCCGCATCAAACCCGCAGGAGGATTCGCCTTCCTAGGGTTGGTGATACCCGAAGCAGCGTATTTGATATGGAAGAATTGGATGAGGAAGAGGAGCGTGAATTCGGAGAACATCGCCCCCCAAAGAACGAGTCCTGGAAGACCAGGTTCTCCTCTATCCTTCGTCGGAGCCCGAGAATTCGCGTTCCTAAGGCTGGTGATACCCGAGGCAGCGTATTTGACATGGAGCAAATTGAAGAGGAAGAGGAGCGTGAATTCGGACCATACCGCGAGCCAACCGCCGGATCGTCTAGCAATGCCCCGTCTTCTGGCCAATCTCAGCAGGCCAGAGCTGGAGCCTTTCAAAGGGCTCGAGACCCTTCGCCAATTCTCAACCCTCGCGTCGTGGAAGGTGACGACAAGCGCTCGAAAGACGAGTTGCAGAGAGCCGTTTCCTTGGAAGAAGACGGCATCGCGAGCCACGAAACGATTTCGTCCTCAAAAGCGGCCTTCGAGACCAAATTTCTTGGCCAGCTCGCTGAACGGCTGGATATCACCAATGTCGTTGCGTTGAGCCCGCAAGTTATTGAATTCGCCGGCGAGAACATCTTGCTGAGCATCAGGAACTTGGGAGGCCCCGTCAGAATCAAGATTGAGAACGGCCAAGAGAAGGCTGAACCCCCTCAAACTCACGAGGCTCTGGCTTGCACAAGCTCTCGCGAGTCCTCATCCTCGGACACGGGTGATCGTGCCACAGAAGCGGAGTCAGTCCACGAGCATCCAGCTGGTGCAACTGACTCTGAGCTCTCCTCTCAATCTGGCGCTCTGCATCAAAGCCCAGCTTTCGATGTCGGGCCTGATTTTTCTCTGAGCGGCCAACAGGTTTCAGCCCCCAAGCAAGTAGCAGGCGAGCAGCGCACTTGGGCCAACTACGGCCAAGGTTACCGCAACTCGTCGACATACACCGACCAGCGCCCTCGAAGCTTCAGATATCACAGAAAAAAGGGTGGATACCTTGGCGGCAGCCGTGGCAGCCACAGAGGCAGCTACGGCTCTGCCCGAGAAGCTACGCACGTGGGTTTCGGAGGTAGCTATGGAGGCGGCAATGACGATGACTATAAGGTCGCTTACGGAGATGGCTACCACACGGAGGGTCACTATGGAGGTGGCCACCAAGGTAGCTATCTTCGTGGTTTTGGCAGATGGTCGCAATAAAGGCCAGGGCACTAGGCACGCCAGTCGCTACATTGGGAGAGGCTGACTTAAAGCTCATCATCTCAACGATGACACTGGGCATGTCGATCTGAAGGACACTGGCTCGGATTTCACCGACGCCAGGGAGGCCATCGCGAAGGGGGTAGAATCGAAGGACACCGAGTCGGAGTTACCGACGTCGGGGAGGTCATCGTGAAGGAAAAAGAGTACATGGACACCGGGTCGGACGTTACCAACGCCGTGGCCATCAGTAAAGAGAAGAGGGAGTGGACATATTTCAGTAGTCAGGCTAGCCGTCATGAATGTGAAAGAGTGCGCCCATGCGTAGAGTCCTATTGAAGGCTTGTCGTAAGGTGGAACGAACCCGAGCGATTCATCGTCTCCTGCTAGTAGTCTCAAGCCTTCCGGCCGTTCCCGAACCATTCCTTCAGAAGCGTGATTTCCTCGTTGGTGAGCGCGACTTTCTCAGTGCCGTGAAGGGAGATAACGTAGGCCACCAAGCTACCAGAACTGGTGGGATCCTCGCCGCGGGCCTCGAGGAGGGCGCCAGCTTTGGAGGGGTCGGCGACGAACTGGGAGAGGAGAGCCAGCTCGTCTTCGTCGAGAATCGGGCAAGGGTCGTTGTCGCGGTTGATGATCTCCTGGGCGAGAGTGTGGGTGTCGATCATGTGGCGCGGGGAGGGACCAGTGTAGGGGGCGGACTCAATGGCAGTGGCCATGATGATTGCGAGTGGTTTGGGTAGATTCTGGGTTGGAAACAGTTGGAAAGATGCTTGTGATGTAGTTGCTTGTTGACTGTTTGAGTCGGTCTGGAAAGGGGTGAGATTTTGGCGATAAAGAGCTCGGACGTCGCTACTTTATGTACTTGTCTCCTCATCAGCGTTCGAGGAGGTCACTCATAATCGACGTAGCTGGCTTGCTGGACTGAAACACTTGTTGGAAAGTGCCTCAGACAAAATTGTCACATTGCGAGGTGTTCGCGCAGATTTAGAGAAGTAACCACCCCATACGCGCCTGTCTCGACTAATGTGAGTGCCTAGGGCAGGCAACAACGAAAGTCCTCTGAAGCTGACCAGCGATGCATTTGTGATGAGAAGCCAGGGCCACCCCTCATTGGCCGGGTTCCCCAGCTTCACAACCAATGCATGAACAACCTCCCTGGGGAACTAGGCAGACGTTTTTGTAGCCCCGGTAACCAACACAAGCTACTTCAAAAAGCAGCCAACCGTTGGTTGATAACGGGGAAGATAAGAACGGAAGCGATGACCCGACAGATCGAAAGCGAGGGATGAGATGACTAGGCGCGAAATTTGATTGCACTGCTGACGCGATTGAAAGAGTTGTTGTTTGGATCGACTTGCGTGCACTCTGACAGCCAGGGTTTATGATGTTGTTGTAGATGTTGATGATTGCTGGACACGTTCAACCGGCGTGACTCTTGTACGCAAGGATTTGGCAGCAAGGTTTCCGACGTTGGGTCACCTTTATCCGTCAAATTGAATTCTTCGACTGAACTTATGATACGGTATGGTCTATCTCCATGAGTTTGGCCAGAAGGTTGCGCGTTCTAAGTCTCCCACATGTTCGTCACATGAACACGAGACGAACCTGGGTTGATGGCGGACTCGCGATCGAACCAACACCCTCTCAATTCCGGCTCGCCTCCAATACAGATTCCGACAGAATATCTTTTCTGCAACCGAGAAGTTTCGCAGCATTGTCTCATCACCGTTGCTGCCGGTGTAAAGTTCGGGGCCTAGACGTGGGTGGGCCGGCCCGTCGGTGTGGCTCGGGACCCGACTCCCAATTCTGGCAATCCCCACTCCGAACGATGCGGCCGGTGCTCTCGCTTTCGAAGTATGTTCATTATCCGAAGAGGCTGTGTTTGACGGATATCGAGTATAAAGACACATGCCGAAGCCCACGATGGGGAGGTTTGTTCTGCAATCCAGTACTAGCTCGACTCGCCAGGAAAACCACACAATGGCAACCCAAAGCATCAGCTCCGTCTTCCAGGAGTTTCTGGACAGAGTCAATCTCAAGAAGTGGGATGCCGCCAAAAAGTTCCTCCAAGACGCAATCACATTCAACGAACACCATGGAAGCAGCGACGAGTTCATTGGTTTCCTCAGTGCAGATATTGAGCAGCGCAACGTTACCCAACTCAGAATCGACGCCGTCGCTGTCCACTCGGACGGGAAATCACTTGGTGCTCGCCAGATTATAAGGACTGTCGGGGCCGATGGGACACAACTCGAGACATGGGCGCTCGTCCTCGCCTTCTTCAATGACGACAAGAAGATCTCGCGCTTCTACAAGATCGACACCCGCCCGAACCCGCGTTCACCTGTCCTGGCCAAAGTTTCGCCCACCGCGCCTCCCGTCTCGGAGAAACAATTGTCGGCGGATGAGTTGAAGAGCGCATACCACACTTACATCCAGAGCTACAACGATGGAGCGATGGCGGTTGTTGTACCGCAGATGATGGCTCCGGAACTGTTGATGAATGGGAACCCGCTCCCGCGCGAGGTCGTCGTGGGATTCTTTGGAAAGTTCCTTCTGCCTGCGACAGCTGGGCTTAAGTATCATATCCAGGACATGGTGACGGACGTTGAGAAGCAGCAGGTGTTTGTGAGGCTCACGCTTGAGGGGGTCCCAGAGAACAAGAACCTCCAAAAAGGGGACGATGGAAAGGAGCCAGTCAAGATCAACGAGATCGCGACATATTCATTCCAGGACGGCAAAATTGCTTGGTGTTGGGCCACTCCGGACTTCGACTTGACTCCGTCTGTTTAGGTCAAGGGCGAGAGAAGGCGTTGTTGTGATTGAAAGCTGGGTGAGGCTTTTGGTAGAATAGATATAGATTATAAATGCACTCACGCTTTAAACCTGAAGGATTTACACTATGACTTACCTCTTTGCCTAAACCCGCTGGACTAAGGCATCTGACACGATAATGGTGGTGTGGTGGTCGAACGGTCCACAATCTCACCGTCCGACCCTCCGACAGCCGATCTACCGACCGTCCGACACCGCGCTCCGTCGGTCCACACATCCGACTCGGTGGACAACATGCGGATGGTAACGGAGCGGCCCGGTATTGGTGAGACGAACTCCCAGCTTTGTGTATTTAACTTGGCCGTCTTGGCTCGGGTAAGTGCCACTACCTCTCACTGCATCCAGCTCATCACCACACATCTACGACTCAAGATCAAGCGCTCATCCAACACATAGAACGCAAAGGTTCTTTCGCAAAAGACATTGAGAAAATACAGACCGCCCCTCGAAATGGAAACCCCGATTGCCTTGGTGGTCTCAAATGCAGAACAAAAAGCAGCCGATCTCGAGGCTGGTTCCAATGCGCCGACCATCACCACCACTGATGAGAACGTTGTCGACTGGGAAGGCCCGGAAGATCCTCAAAACCCGCTCAACTGGTCGCCAAGACTGCGGTACGGACATGTGGTCATTGCATCTCTGTTCTCCCTCGTCGTGTAAGTCACAGTTTCACCCAGCTGCAATCCACGTCGATAACTAACACGGACCTCAGCAACCTTGCCGCCACGATGATAGCGCCCGGCATGGAATACGTCGTCCGAGACATCCACATCACCAGCCAAACCATCGGCACACTATCCGTCACGATATACCTTCTGGGCTTCGCCTTGGGCCCCCTCATCATCTCTTCCGCTTCCGAGATGCACGGCCGCCTCATCGTATACCACATCTGCAATGTCCTGTTCATTGCTTTCATAGTCGGCACAGCTTTAAGCAAGAAGGTGCCTCAGCTTCTCATCTTCCGCGTTCTGTCTGGCGTTGCAGGGTCTGCTCCGATGACCATTGGAGGCGGTACAATCGCGGACGTGATTCCCTCAGAGCACCGGGGTCCTGCTGGAGCGCTGTTCGCTCTTGGACCCCTGATGGGGCCGGTATGTTGCTCACCCGATAAACTATTGAAACGGAAGCTGATTTTGTCTGAAGGTCCTCGGTCCAGTCATAGGAGGCTTTCTTTCAACTCGCGAGGGTTGGCGCTGGACGTTTTGGCTCATGGCCATCATGGTGAGCAACCCCTGACTGGCGGGTCCATCGTCACGATACTAACATCTCGACAAGAGCAGCGTCATTTCACTCGTAGCTCTGGCGTTTCTCCGAGAGACTCATCCCAACATCCTGCTTTCCCGCAAAGCCGATCGTCTCCGCCGCGAGACCGGCAACCAGGAGCTGCGCTCAAAGCTGGATCGCCGCCTCACCTCATCCCAAATCCTGATTGGCGCCTTTGTCCGAACCGGAAAACTCTTGACCTTCTCTCCCATAGTCCTCATCATGTCTCTCTACGTCGGTCTCGTTTTCGGCCTGCTGTACCTCCTCTTCACCACCATCACTCCCATCTTCCAGGGGGTCTACGGTTTCAAAGCCGAACTCGTAGGTCTGGCCTACTTGGGCGTCGGCATTGGCGAGTTGACAAGTCTCATCGTCTTTGGCACACTGAGTGACCGAGTATCGGCATGGCGCACAAAGTCAGAGGGGCGGTCCGTTCCCGAACATCGGCTCATTTTGATGATTTGGTTCGCCCCCGTCATGACCATTGGTTTCTTCATCTATGGCTGGACCGCGCATTACCAGGTGCACTGGATCGCTCCCATCATCGGCACTTTCTTCATCGGGTTCGGAGCATTCTTCGTCATTGTAAGTTCAGGGAATTGTTGTCGAACATTGAAAATCGGCTTGCTAACGAAATGAGTAGCTACCTGCGCAAATCTACCTGGTCGACGTATTCGGCTCTGAGGCTGCCGCGTCAGCCCTCGGCGCAAACATCCTATTGCGCTGCCTCTTCGGCGCCTTCCTCCCTCTTGCAGGCACAAAGATGTATGAGACGCTCAACTACGGTTGGGGCAACACTCTCCTTGGCTTCTTGTCCCTGGCTTTCGTACCCGCCCCGATGTTCTTCTACAAGTACGGAGGTTGGCTTCGCAGCAAGACAGCCACGAGTTTGTGAGCTTCTCGCCAATAAAGCAGGCCATATGACACGATTTCTTTGACTTTAAAAGGCATAGACAAAAGAAGCATTAATAGATATGCCTTAGACTAAGAGGTCTCTTTCACAAACAGGGCTTTCGGGTCACTCATAATTCTAATGGAATATGATCTTTCTCTTGGTTGGAATGGAAACCAGAACTATCGAGCAAACCAATGGCATGTGAACGATTAATCTGCAGGTGGCTTCATGCCGGTCTTTCACCCACCAGGAATCATCAATGGCCTCGTCATCAGCAGGCTCCGGAAATTTGGTCTCATTGGCTGCTTTTAGGCCCCCTTTTGCGTAGGCAGCCAGATTCCTTCTCGTTATGCACAAAGGCGGCATGGCGCTCCATTCTACCCGCTTATGTAGGTACTTTAGTGCGCTGACGGGAAGGAGGCTGGGATTGACGGCCTTCCCATCTCCTTCCCCAAAAGATGTCTGTCTCGGAGCGAAAACTGCCCAGAAATCTTCCAAATACCATCCCGACTGTCTCAACATCACTGCAAACATGTCATCCAACCAGGACGCCTCTGCCGGACCTGAGAGGCCGCGCCCCCCGCCAAACCGCCGAAGAGACAAACCCACAGTGGTATGCGAAACTTGTCGCAAACGCAAGTGAGTACCCAAAGGACTTTCGACAGTTGAATGTGCATAGTTTCTCATTGCTTGGCTTCCTCAGACAGAAATGTGACCGACAGCAACCTTGCCAGAGGTGCGTCCAGCATGGCATTCAGTGCACTTATGCCAATAGTGGCCCTCTCTCTGCCGGGATTTCCCAGCATGCTTCCAGTGCTCGACCACGGGCAAATCTGCAAGCTCGATTGGCCCAGCTCGAGAGCTTGGTTGTGACGATGATGGAGGACCCTGGGCCGTCACGCGAAACTCCTGTGACGACGGCGCTCACTGGAAATAGCGCAACGGGTTATGTCCCAGCAGGCAATAGCACGCCAACCGAAGCCCGCGATGAATCATCAAAGACGTCTGAGAGTGGCAGTATCCGGCTGAACGCATCCGAGGCTCGGTATGTTGGGAGCAGTCACTGGGCCTCGATTCTGGACGGGATCGCCGAGTTGAAGGACCACTTGGAGGCGGAGGAGGAGATCCAGACCAACAGTGCGACTCCCGGCTCAATCCCCGCCCCAGAAGACGACATGGAGATGCCGCTGCTGTACAGCGTACGCTCTGCCTCGAGGGCACAGATCCTGGACTCGATTCCTCCGAAGCAAGTTCTGGACCGCTACATATCGCACTATTTCAACTCTCTGGACTTGGCATCAGGTTTGTGATGCCCATGATGCTTGTTGTATCACCTGCTCATTGAAGCAACAGGCGCATTCCACACCGGAAAATTCATGAGGGAGGTAAGCTGGAGGCACCATGCTCAGCTCGCCCAGGGACTGACTCTCTTTAGTATGCCGAGTTCTGTCAAAATCCATCCGAAACCCCCATCATGTGGCTGGGCTTACTGTATTCAATCATGTGCATGGCAGTCATGTCGTATGACCTCGTCGGCAAATCGGAAGTAGAAGATCCAAAGGCCTTGATCGATCAGTACCGTGAGAAGACGGCACAGTGCCTGCTACTGGGAAGGTACGCCAACGGAGGCCAATACACCTGGGAAACCATCTACCAGTATGTCATCATAGAGTTGTCGTCGCGAAGGGATATCACGCAGACCATCGGCATCCTCCACGGCGTATCTATGAATCTGCTCCTCCAGATGGGCTACCACAGAGATCCGTCCCACTTCCCGAGCATTTCTCCCTTCGCCGGGGAGATTCGACGCCGAAACTGGGTCAAGTGCTTGGAGGGCGACCTCCAGATGTCGATGCGGACAGGCATACCTCGCAGGATTAGTGCCGGTCACTGGGATACAGAGGAGCCGCGGAACCTACACGACGCGGACTTTGACGAAGACACCAAGGAGATCCCACCCAGCAGGTCAGAAACCGAGGTTACGGCTGTCACTCAACTGATCGCGAGGAGGCGTATGCTGGTGGCGGTTGGGGCTGCTGTCGATCTGTCTTCGTCAATCAAGCCGCCTGCTTACACCGAAGTACTGGCAGTGGATCGGCAGGTGAGGGAGGCAGAGGAAAGCCTCCCACCACCACTAAAGATGAAGCCTTTGCAGGCGTCAGTTACGGATCCGCCGCTGTTGATCATGCACAGGCTGTACTTGGCGCTCATGTTTCGTATAGGTGAGGTCATGATCCACCGCAACTATCTCAGCGAAGCAAGCGACAGCTTCAGCTACTCGCGAAAGAAGTGCTTGGACTCTTGTCTCTCTGTTCTGCAGCTACAACACACTCTCAACGAGGAAACCATGGTCGGAGGCTTGCTGCATTTTGCGGGAGCCAAGCTGTCGCTTATTGGGAACCATGCATTCCTGACGGCCTGCATCACCCTCTGCGGCGCGATGTACAAGGGACTGCATGCGGCTGGAAACGAATATGCCTCGGCTAGGGAAGTGGACATCAAAACAGCGTTGTGGAACTCCCTCAGCGTTTGGATGAAGAATGAGTCTTCGTCTAGAGAGGCTCGCATTGCGGCCGAGTCCATCAGGCTTGTACTCAAGAAGAACGGCTGGTTCAGCGAGTTGTTGCCAAGTCCAGATCTAGGTTCCACCTCAGTCAATGCTATGGGTCTTGATTCTCTGGGCGGATTCTTTGGGCACGGGATCGACATTTTTGGCGAGGCGCCTTTGACGATGTTCAACAACGAGTGGGACCCAGAGGGGTTTCCCTGGTTCCTGGATCCGTTGAATGGTGGGATGTCACTGAATGACAGCCAGACCGGATGAGACGTTGGTCCAGCATCTGGACTGCAGAGGCTTACCATCGACCGCGAACCTCGGCTGTCACTTTTGACATTCACACTGGCTCCTGAGGCGACGGGACTAACACAGAGGGTGTAGCGGGTCTGCGGCAGCTAAGCCCGGCTCCGAAGGTTATCTGTTGGTTGCAGAGCCAACAAGCAAGTGTCGCCACTCTTTATGTAGGCCTGTGGGATGTCTCGATTTCTTCGGACGAGATCAAAGATTGCTGGGTTCCTGTTCTATCTTTATTTGGTTCGCATCAAACGCCTTTCCTCCTTGAGTATTCTGTTCTCTCTGGGATTTCCGCAGCATTTGTCCTTATGAGAAGAAGTTGAATACGAACTGAGCTGTGGCTGCAAAATGACAGAAACATCCACATGCATCCATGTCTATCAACAACCGGGGAAAGGGAAGCGGCCCGGCGTGATTGGTCTTGGGTGCAACGAATGCAGAGCGTACCACCGAAGGGCCCCGCTGATGAAACGATGTCAAGTCGTTGATTAGCTCTACACCCTGGATTCATGCGAGTTCTTCTCCAACAGATCTGTGAAATGGAACGTTTGCCTGCATATCTCAATGCTGCCTTGCACCAACAGAATCAAACAACGACCCGCTGAACAGCGGGCACAGCTTGGCGCAAAGCGACAACTGACAAGTACAAAATCCCTTGTTCGGCCAAGTCTCTCTACTCGATTTCTCATCCCGTGTGTAACGGAAATCGACTTTCAAAATGGCCGAATCGTCAGACAATGCGGCGGCGCCGGCGTCTCCAGCCCCCACATCTCCGTTGAGATCGACAGCGTCACCTTCGGCCGCACCCGAGCCTCAAGCGCCGGCCGAGATTGAAGCTGACGATGCGGCGAGTGTGAGTTCACTGGCACCATTGCTTCCAGATCCAACTCGTTGACCGTAATGCTAGCTTGCCGCGAATGCCGCCAACATTGACGATCGCATGTGTGTACTTTCTATTCCTTGAGATGATATGCGCTGACAGAACAGCTCGTCCTATACGGCATCCTTGACATCAAGTGTGACAGACTACCCTACTGAGTACGGCCGACGTTTTCACGCGTTCAGAGCTGGGTGTAAGCAAGCGTCCCCGTCAGACGTCAACTCTCACTGACCATGTCTAGCGTACTTTGGACCCAACGACGAGGTGAATGATGAAAATCACCAACAAAGACGAAGTACTGATTGCCTGCCTCAAAGGTCGAACTGGACCGGCTCGACTTCAACCACACACTCATTGTGAAGCTCATCAGCTATGGCGAGAAGCTTTTCTTGGCCCCGGTCCCGCAAGAAAAGACACATCGGATTCTAGACATCGGCACAGGAACCGGCATTTGTAGGTCACGAGCTTGTCGCAATGTTCTGCAGCTGACACTCTCACAGGGGCTGTCGAGGCGGCAGAGATCTTTCCTAATGCAGAGGTATGCAAACGAGTCGTGGATGGTTCAGGCGAGACTCATTCCCGTCATAGATTCTCGGCAACGATCTGAGTGCCATTCAACCTGCATGGTAAGGTTATCCAGTCAAGATCGTACGGCAAGGGCTGACTTCTTTTTAGGTGCCCGCCCAACGTCAAATTTGAGATCGACGACGTTGAGAGCCCCTGGCTGTACGAGCACAGGTTTGACTTCATTTTCTGCCGCTATATGTGTGCAGCCATCGGAGATTGGCCACTGCTCATGAAACGGGCTTACAAGTACGCATCACTGTAGCTGATTGACACCAAAAAGGCTGACGAACCGCCTAGAAACCTCAACCCGGGCGGCTGGGTTGAATTCCAAGACTACAACATCAAGTTCCTCACAGATGACGATACTCTGAACGAGGAGCACTTTGCTTCTCAGTGGAACAAGAACTTGATGGAAGCCTGCAACGCTGCTGGCCGCAACCCAAACCCAGGGTACGACTTGGAGAAGTGGGTGAAGGAAGCTGGCTTCGTCGACGTTGTTGTCCGCAAGTTCAAGCTCCCCATGGGGACCTGGCCCAAGGACCCGTACTTCAAGGATCTTGGTTTAACGAATCTGATCCAGTACTTGGACGGGCTTGACGGGTTCAGCCTGAGAGCATTTTGCGACGTCCTTGGTTGGACGAAGGAGGAGATCATGGTGCTGTTGGCGCACGTACGCAAGGAGATGAAGTCCGCCAAACTTCACATCTACAATGACATGTGAGTGTTCAACTATTTCTTTGGCCGATTTTGCTGACAGTTTGTAGCCATGTGGTCTACGGACGCAAGCCCGAAGCCGAGCCTGAGGCGGCATCGTGATGGAGCGGGGGGTTCCAGATTCATCTAGTTGATCGCATCTTCGGATGTCTTCATTCATCTAATTCTTCAAAATAAAAAAAACGACGAAAAGTGGATGTTCGGCTCGTTGAAAATTCAAATCTCACATCCGCTGCTATCACATCTCCATCTGACAGAAAGGGTCAGAACACGTACTCCTTTCCCCTCCCGGCAATGCGGAATGTTTATTACTGAGCTGGTTCATGCATCCATGTCGCCCTCGGAACTCTGCCTGCAGGTCGGGGAAGCAAGTGGGCAGTCGCGATTGGCCTCGATGCATCAAAGCGTCGGGGCCTGCCCGGCCGCCCCGCTGTTGCAGCCGTTGATTAGCTCCCGACCCCGGACGTCACATCACTTTGTGGGCGCGTGAATCTGAGAAAAAGGAATGCCTCTCTGATTCTGCATCTGACCTGCGTCAAGAAATGGGTCGCCCAGCCCTCGATGAGCGGCAGACAGGCTGAGCAAGGCGGCCGATGCCGTACAAAGTCCGTCGTCGCTCTCCTTTAGAGTTTCCCCGCCGAAGCTTCTCCCGCAGCATTGGTGAAGCCCGGTCTTTGACCTTGTTGCTTGAGGTTCAGGATGTGCGAAGACACGGATGACCCTCGCGCGTTGCCAGGCTCTGCTGAAGAGGAGCGACCGCTCGAGGTTGACCAAGATGTAGGGCGTGCGAGTCCTCAGGCGTACCATGCTGACTTGCACCAGAATGCAGACGCCGACTCAACCATTGACGAACGCATGTGAGTGCCCTGCCGTGTTCGCGAAACGTGCTGACGAGGGAGATCGTCGTACACGGCAACATTGACCTCGAGCGTCCTCAATTATCCTGAGGAGCATGGACGACGATACCACGCTTATCGACCGGGATGTAAGTATATTGGCTCGTTCGATTGCTTGCCGCAGCTGACAGCGGCCATCAGCTTACTTTGCCCCCAACGATGAGGTATGACGATGCCACCGGTTCGAGCCAAACCTGACAGCTTTGAAGGATGAGAGCGACCGCCTTGACTTTACCCACGCGTTAATTCGAAAGACTCTCGATGAGGAGCTCTACCTGGCCCCGCTACAGAAGGAGAAGGTCCACAGGATTCTCGACATTGGGACCGGCACAGGGATTTGTGAGGTCTCCTTTGCGGAGGTCTGGATGCGTGCTAACGGCAGCTATACAGGGGCGATTGAGATGGGCGATGAGTTCGATCATGCAGAGGTGCCGTCCTTGCCCTCTAGCAACAGTTCTCTGCTAATGCCAACAGGTCATCGGCAACGACTTGAGTGCGATTCAGCCAGAGTGGTGCGCACATCACACCGCTTGTTCAGCCAACTACTGACACTGACAGGACCCCACCGAACGTCAAATTCGAGATTGACGACGTCGAAAGCCCGTGGCTGCACCCTTCCAAGTTTGACTTCATTTTCAGTCGGTACTTGGCTGGATCAATCAGCGATTGGCCCAAGCTGGTGAGAAATGTTTATGAGTGAGTCGCCTTCCTCTACCAGCAATCCTTGTCGTTAATAAGTGGCAGCAATTTGAACCCCGGAGGATGGGCCGAATTTCAAGACTATGACTTCCTGTTCAAGTCCGACGACGGCTCTTACAAGGAAGAACACCACACCTGGCAATGGAACACCCAGTTCATCGACGCGACCGTGAGCATAGGACGCGAGTCTCGCCCAGGGCCTAAACTCGAGCAATGGGTCAGGGATGCCGGATTCGTCAACGTCCGCCATTTCGTGCACAAGTGGCCGATTGGCCCCTGGCCCAAGGACGCCTACTACAAAGACATTGGCATGTGCAACCTCATTCAGCTGCTAGATGGGCTTGAAGCGTTCACCCTGCGCGTCTTTTGCGGCGTACTCCAATGGCCCGAGGCGAAGGTGCTCGTCATGCTGGCCAAGGTGCGCGCAGAACTGAAAGCTGGCACCTTCCACTCCTATGGCAACTTGTAAGTGATGTCCCCCATCGGCCTCGTGAGTAGCTACTGAAGTTCGCAGCCATGTGGTATACGGCCAGAAAGCGTAGGCGCGATGTTTTTGTAGTAATGGTAATGATACAACTGGTCTGCAATCATTTGTCCGGTCCCATTTGAATGCCGATGCTAGCGGGACTGATCGGCACTAACAGCGCCAATGCGGGCCGCCGTCCTAGCATATCGGCCCCACCCGGCGTCGCTTCCGGGGCGGGGCACCGACACGTCCTGGCAGTTCGTCCGATGCATCAACCCACTCACCGCAGCCAACCATGCAGCAGCCCCGGCTGGTTGCGCCCGTCTCACCTATTCTGGGTAATTCACTCGGCGCATACCCCGTGCTTACCACCAACGCAGGGTAGTATCGAGAGCCCAAGCTGGTATCTCCATAGGCGTACAGCAACCGTCACCATCACTCGAATGATGTGGTCACTATTAATAATCGCAGCTGCTCCATCCGCGTTTGATCCGTCCCTCATCATGTGCCAGTACCTCTGCTCGTTGCGCCTCACGTACACCAAGCCATGCCTGTGGACTCGACTCTGGCCGTCCTGGTCGCTGTCGCTCTGCTGACGGGTCTGTTTCTCACATCGAGGAGGGCCAAAAATGACAGACCACCGAAGCCTCTCAAGTTGCCCATCATCGGTGACCTCCACAGTTCACCGATAGAGAGGCCAATGCTGAACTGGGATGCATGGACTAGAGCCCAGGGACCGGTCGGCACGCCGAAGCTCTTTGGCATCATGCCCTTCGTGGTGCTCAACACAGCCGAAGCGGCCACGGAGCTATTCGGCAAGCGCAGTGCCCTCTATAGCAACCGGCCGAGCTCTGTGAGCATGGAGATGATTACCGATTCGGCGCCAGGCAAGTCTAGGATGACATTGATGCATGACTACGACGCACACTTGAAGTTACATCACCGCATGCTGTCGCCGAGCCTGGGAGCCGTGGCTGCGCCGAGGATCCAGCCACTCATGCAGCTGGAGTCGAGGCAGCTTCTCAGAGATGCTGTCAATGCTGTGCAAGAAAGCGGACGGACGGTGATGAGCAGCACGGAGCTCTACCCGCTGCTGGAGCGGACCCAGGCCAGCGTCATCCTCGGACTACACTACGGCATACGGGTGCCAGCTCACAGCGATCCTCTCTTCACGGAGATCCTACACGTTCAGCACAAAGTAACCTACGTTGCCGCCAACCCCAGTCTCGTCGACTTTATCCCGCCCCTAAGGCATCTCCCCGCGATCATCTCCCCTTGGCATCGTGCTGCGAACAAGCTCTTCATCGAGCAACGAGATCTCTACCTTCGTCTTGTGGAAATCGCAATGAACGAGCCTGGCTGGAACGCCACGAAGCAGGCACGCGCTATCGCCGCCAAGAATCCTGATACTGAGGCTGTGCCGGATCTGGACCTCGCCTTCACGCTGGCGACCAGTATTTCGGGCGGGATGGAGACGAGCCCGAGACAGACGCTGTGGCTTCTGGTCGCTGCGCATGCTAACCCGGGCTTTGTGGCGAAGGCACACGCTGTCTTGGACCAGTCTGTTGGTAGGGACCGCTTACCGCGGTTCACAGACAGATCGAATCTGGTGTACATTGATGCAATAGTTTCGGAAGTGGTGCGTTGGAGGCCAATCGCGCCGGGCAGCATTCCCAGGAGAGCGGATCAGGAAGACGAGATTTTTGGCACGCCCATCGTCAAGGGAGCGACTTTGTTTGCTAATGCCTGGGCCATTGGCCGAGACGAGAAGGTCTTTGACGAATCACTCGGCGATCTGGACTCATTCGTTCCAGAGAGGTGGCTAGACGAAGAGGGAAAGCTTCGTACGGACCTCCCGTTGGCGGGTTTTGGGCATGGAAGACGAAGCTGCTTGGGGAAGAGGGTGGCTCTCGACAACACCTTCATGATTATTGCGAGTCTGCTGTGGGCCTTTGAGGTTGCACCCGTTGGCCAGGTTGATTCGATGGCTATGGAGGTCGCGGGATTCATGACGGCGCCCTCAGAGTTCAAATTTAGTCTGAAACCTCGAGGCAAGTGGGTTCAAGAGATCATTCAGAGAGAGTGGGATGTCTCGGAGACGGACCTGAGCAAGCTCATGGGACCTTGGGTGGATGTTGAGACTTCCTAGGTCAATTGAAGCAGATGCCTCTTGCCATCGGACTCAATTGACGTGAATTGATGGTGGTTTACGAATGCCGCTGGGATGTTCAAGCCATTCTCGACTCATCAAGGCAGTCCTGGTAAGTAAGTGTCTTGGCTCGTGTCATCGCATCTCACATCGTCACTTCTCCGCATCTTCTCGCTGGGTCTGGCCTCACTGAAGCCTGTGAGACAAGCTCAAAGCCGTGTTGACCTGGTCCAGGCTCGGCATGATGTCCGCTGGAGAAAGCCAAGATTCGGCACGAGCATCAAATGACTCGTCGATCGTGGGAACTTGCGTTTGCGCGAATCGCGAGCGTTCAGTGGAAAAACGTCTCTCGAGAGTTTGAAGCCGTTTGGAATGAGGCCTGGGACGGGACTTGATTTGAAAACAGTCTGGCGCCGAACAACGCCGGCTATCCATTCTTAGTCTGTGCTAAGTATCTTGTACGCTAAATAGATGATGCTCAAAGAAACGCTTCGCCCTGCCAAATCCAAATCAAAGCCAGCCCGAGTCCTGAACCCGTGTTTTCAGGATGCATGTATTCTTATGGCGGCCGGAGAACCTGGGAGGATGATGAGATGACAGGCTGGAGACCGAATGATCAGACATCACTTACACTTTTGAAACTCCAGCGTCGGATATGCCCTAACCAGAACCACAGACGCAGCCCTCGCGGAGCGCGGGGTTGACATTGGGAAAGGGGAAGCACTGGCGGCCCTCGGCTTCGCAGTTTTCGCCAGAGACACCGCAGTTGCTATCTGTGCAAGGGCCGGTGAACTGGGCGGCGGAGGCCGCGACGAGGGCGAGAACTGTGATGAAGATGCCGCGCATGTTGACTGATGTGTGTGGTGATGGTGTGTGAAGAAGGTGAGGTTGACAGTTTTGGCTGAAGGCTGTTCGGATGAAGACTAAGCTTGATGATGGTGGTGGTTGATGATGGATAAGATGAGTTTGAAGCTGAGCGTCTGTGTTGATTATATACTTTGGCCTGCTTGTCGGACAAGTCCATGAGATTGAAGTGTGTGATATTTATGGGAACTTCATTGCTTGGCTCTTGACCAGTCAACATTGGCATGCGAAAGCCCAGCCTCCTAGCATCTTGGGCAATTGTAAAGTGCGACTTAAAGATAGGCCAGGCCCAGGGGTTTCAATGCAACTTGTGTTCCCGCTTGCCAAGCGTTTCTATGGGTTCTGGATGTCCTGGTGAGGCCTGTACAAATTGCCTTTAGGACGTGATTGGGACGATACTCTACGCTTAGTGCTTAGACCAGCTGCGGGCCACATTGCTGCATCAAAGAGCCATAGGAATGCGTCTAACCCCTGGCTCTTCTGACGAATTCTCTGTAAGTTGATTTGATAGCCTCCCAGAGAAATTGCCTGACCTCTCTGCTCGATAACCTCGTATGGTTCATCTTTGCCCCTTACCCATCATGTCTCCAACCCCTTTGCTATGAATATACCCAGAATCGTCTTGTCTATTTTGGAGGTCTACGTTGAGGCTCGGCCTCGGACGTCGGGCGGTGCAATCGGCTGGTGGCCCGCGGACTTGGCAGCAGCTTGGCGGGTTTTGGGTATTATCGGTTTCTTAGGGGGGCCATCGCGGCGGCAATTGGGGGACTATCCGTCTGGCGATGAAGGAGAACAAAAAAAAGCTTTCAGGCTGCGGTCTCGCCGTATGCTTGGCGATGAACGTTTCAATTATCTCTTGGCTTCTCGTTGTGAGCGGGACGTTGTCCGCGTCTCAGACGAAGAAGGTGAGGTGAGGTGCCTTTATTTAGACGAAGGTCACTCTCCCGGACGGCCCATGGGGTTGGCATTCGATGAGTTGTCTCTCGATGAACCCCCACGCTCGAAAAATAGGTTCCAATCGTGAGAGTTGATCGTCAAAATAGCACAAAAGGGGGCTCGACCCTTGCCTAGATGTCTTGGGCGCTGCAGTTGCTCCGCATCTTGTGTGTGGTCCAGCGAGTCAGCGATCGCCCTGGCAGCCAATGCAACCAAAGGCTCATTCTTGAAACGCCCCGACGGGAATGGAATGAAACGGCCTGGGGTCGGGAATCTCGCCCATGGGCGCGCTGCCGTACGAATGTCCTCACGTCGATCCCGCCCCCACAGCATCCTGGGGTTGCTGGCAATGACATGCTGGTCTGATTCAATAGCTGTCAAGGGCGGAGCAATACGGAGAACTGGGGTTTGGGTCGTCGGGACATTTCGGACTGGACGTCTTGCACTTCTCGAGGGTCATGGCGCGCTCCATCCAGGTGAGTGGGCTCCGGACTTCGACAGCGCGGATCGGACGCACAGCGGGCAATGACCGGGACGCACAGCCCGGAGCAGATCGGCGATGTGGGTCTCGGCGCCGAAGCTCCTGTGGGGTATGTGCCGGCACTCCGGGGCTTACTGTCGGATGGAGCATCTCATCGATCTCGACATGCACAGAAGCGGCTTCTTTCTGGCGCATTGGCAAGCCGACATGGGTCTTGCCGACGAGTTCTGCATGAGGCACACCGATGACACTTTTCGTTGCTACCGACATGGGCTTTCCAAGTGATACACCTTCACAGAAGCCATCCAGAGTTGCGAATAACAGCGCCAATTGCTGCAGCCATTTTAAGGCATGCGATGCCTTCAGATGGACGTCGCCATAAGCCTATCATAGCTGTGTCGCATCGGCTTACTGCTCGGTGAGCACTAACTACCAACTCCCTGTCTCAGGCACCAAACGGGATCGCGGCACCGCGCAGGGATGGATCCATAGCCGCCTTCCCCATCGGGACAACAGGAACACCCCCGCGGACACTGATACGCTAGACTGATCTAACCAAATAAACCAAAGTCCCTTTACAATCTACTGCTGGCTGACGATTACAGCTTCACTCTCAGTCGCTGCTGCGCCGCACGACTCGCTACTTATGTTTACGCGAGTAGTCCTGGTGCTGTCCAGTCACGCGCGTCTGATCTCGCTCACTCCTGTTTTCAGATTGGCCTCAGTTCGTACTACAGCGCCGAATGCTCCTCACCGATTGAATTTTGTCCAGCTTCACCGAACAGAGTACCGGCCCAGGCTGCCATACGCGACTTCTCCTTCCTCGTCACGCCGCGATGAAGTCTTCCTGCACCAATGATGACACATTCGGTCCCGTCGTCCACGGTTGTCGTGATGACTTCGACCTGACAATCAAGTTCGAGCAGGTGATCCTGACAATCGTCCCTGCCGCCGTCTTCATTGTGGCTGCTCTGCCGCGCTTGTTCGTCCTCCTCCGCAGGCCCAGAGTTGCAGCAGGTCCCAAGTTCCAATGGCTGAAAATCGCAAGTACTGCTCACCCTCATTTCTGCGCCTTGTCTAACCACCAACCAGTTCTTCATCGCCGCATACGCCGGACTTCGGCTTCATCAACTGGTTCTGACCAGCCGTAGCACGTCATGGACAACGACTACGTCAGTCGCATCGGATGCGATGGTATTCGTGGTCAGTCTTGCGATGATGCCGTTGTCGTTTTTGGAGCATGCCCGCTCTCCCCGGCCATCAACTCTGCTCAGCATCTTCCTTCTGGTGACGTTTGTTCTCGACGTTCCGCTTTCACGAACGCTGTGGCTTTCGGCAGGGTCTGATGCCGGCCGTCAGCAAGCCTACACCTCCCTCGCATCACTTGTTTTGAAGGCTGCAATTTTGGTCGTGGAGTCTCACCAAAAGCCACTGGCATGGTACGTCGACCAGAAACCGCAGGGTCCCGAAGCGTATGGCGGCATCATCAAGCTGGCTTCGTTCTTCTGGTTGAACGGCCTCTTCATCAAGGGATACCGTAAAATTCTCACAATCAGTGACCTCTACCTCCTCGACGATGCTATGACGGCCGAGGTCTTGCACGCAAAGTTTGAGCCTCACTATGCGAGAAACAACAGCGTCGGCAAGTCGCATCCCCTCGCCAGAAGCTTGTTTCGTACCCTCGCAATTCCCTTGATCCTGCCGGTCGTCCCTCGGGCCCTTCGAATCGGATTCATGTTTGGGCAGCCCCTTTTGATTCAAGGTCTCCTGAGCTATCTAGTAGAGCCCGCAGACTCTTCGTCGCCGAACAAGGGTTACGCATTCATCGGCGCGGCGTTCTTCATCTACGTCGGCATGGCAGCCTGTCAGGCGCTGCACTTTTACCTGCACGAACGGTCTCTCTTCATGGTCAGGGGAGTGCTGGCGTCCGCTGTGTACCGCAAGACGACAGTCCTGAAGCTCTCTGCCGCAGACGACTCTGCGGCCTTGACGCTCATGAACGCCGACGTGGAGCGCTTCAAGGGCGGCATCCAGCATTTCCACGAATACTGGGCGAATCCCATCGAGATTGCAATCGCATGCTGGCTCCTCGAGCGCCAGATCGGTGCTGCCTTTGTGTCACCCATCATTCTTGTCATCATCTGCTTCGCAATCGCCGCAGTCATTGCCGGCGTGTCAGCGTCTCGTCAGGCAGTGTGGATGAAGGCTATCCAGAAGCGGGTGGGCGTGACGTCCAAGTCTATCTCCAGTATGAAGGCGCTAAAGATTTCTGCCATGACGGGCCCGGTGGAGAAGTTGATTCTCAAACTGCGGCTCCAGGATCTTCATGATGGCGGACGGTGGCGCTCCATGATCATCTGCGCTGTCGCTGCTTCTTTCACGCCGACCCTACTCGGGCCGACGGTGGCATTTGCAACGACCTCGTCGACTCTGGACGTTACTCGCATCTTTACGTCCATCGCTTACTTGATGCTCATCGCTGGCCCCTTGGGACTGCTGCTGCAAACGTTCCCGATGATGACTGGAGCATTCGCCTGTTTGGGCCGTATCCAAGCATATCTCAACAAGGAAGCGCGAGTGGATTTCCGCAAGACCCCTGAATCGATGCCCCCAGCTAAGCAGAATGGGAATGTTCCGGCGGACTCTGAGGCCACCGCGATTACAGTCACGCAGGGCTCCTTTGGCTGGGAACAGGGAAAGAACGTCTTGGAGAAGATCGACATCAAGATTCCCGCCTCTTCCCTCACCATCATTGTGGGGCCCATTGCCTCTGGGAAGTCGACTTTGTTGAAGGCCTTTCTAGGCGAGACACCATACAATTCCGGTGACGTCGCTTTTGGAGTCAGCTGCCGCAACGTGGGCTACTGCGACCAGTCCCCTTTCCTCTACAACGACACGGTCAAGGCCAACATCATTGGGCACTCTGCCCTGGACCCGGAGCGCTACAAACAAGTCATCGACGCCACCATGTTGTCTGCAGACCTGGCAACGCTGCCCAAAGGTGACCGCACCAAGATTGGCAGCAATGGCGTCACATTGAGCGGAGGCCAAAGACAACGAGTTGCCCTCGCACGCGCCCTCTACCTGGAGACCGAGATTCTCATCCTCGACGACATTCTGAGCGGCCTCGATGCCAACACAGAGGAGCATGTTTTCCGCCGCGTGTTTGGTCCTGATGGCATCGTTCGCCGCAGAGGGGTCACGGCAGTGCTCTGCACTCACTCGGTCCGGCACCTTCCTTCAGCAAACCACATCATAGCCCTCGGTACAGACTGCACCGTGGTCGAACAAGGCTCTTTCGCCGACTTGAAAAACAACGGAAAATACATTGAGAGCCTCAAAGTTTCGGAGGAAAAGGCTGCTTACAAGAGTGCCGACGACGACGACGAAGATGAACCTGAGCCTATCGCTCTGACAAAAACAAAGACTGCCGAGTCCGTCTTGGAGAAGGAGGCGGACAAGGCACGCCAGGTGGGCGACACGTCGGTCTACGGACACTGGTTCGGCACCATGTCGCCGCTGGTACTTGCTGGATACTTCTTCTGGTGCACCGCCTACGGCTTCAACCAGGCCTTTCCCAACATCTGGCTCAAGGTCTGGTCTGAGGACATTGTGTCACCTGATCCGAAGCATGGCAAAGCATACTACTTGGGCATATACGCCCTCCTCGAAGTGCTGTGTCTCGTCTCCTTGATCATGGTCATATTCATCTGCTTGAGAATCATGATCTACCAGTCAGGGGCCAAGCTCCACCAACAGAGCCTGCGGACACTCATCGGCGCGCCTTTGAAGTACCTGACAATCACTGATGCCGGCACCATCACCGGGCTTTTTGCCCAAGACATCAACCTGATTGACGGAGAGCTTCCTATGGCGTTCATCAACTTTTCTTTTGGGCTGTTCACTGCGATCGGGATGCTATTCATCATTGCAACCACATCACCCTGGCTAGTTATCACCTACCCGTTCCTCATCGGGGTCGTAGTCGCGGTGCAGAGGTTCTACCTGCGGACGTCGAGGCAGCTGCGGCTATTGGATCTCGAGGCAAAGGGTCCTCTCTAGTAAGTCACATGTCTCTTGAACTCACTCACCTCAGCTAACCATCAACCCAGCTCTCACTTCATCGACACTCTCAAGGGCCTGGCCACCGTGCGAGCTTTGGGCTTCATACCCACCGACATCTCGGTAAACAACCGTCTACTCGACACCAGCCAAAGGCCGGCGTATCAGCTTGCCCTCATCCAGCGTTGGCTGGCGCTCGTTTTGAGGCTCATTGTCGCCGCCATCGCGATTCTTGTCGTCACTCTGTCGACACAGTTGCGAGCAAATTCGGGATACACAGGAGCAACTCTCGTGACGATCATGCGATTGAGTGACACGCTCACCATGCTCGCGTCCTCGTTTACTTCGGTAGAAACCAGTATCGGCGCCGTAGCACGTATCAAGACTTTCCATGAGACAGTCAAGCCCGAGACTGGGCCAGAAGAAGACACTATACCCGAGGAAAGCTGGCCTCAGAAGGGCGCGGTCGAAATCAAGGGCATCTCAGCTTCGTACGGCGACCCCGAGGACCCCAAGTCTATGGATGAACTCGCCATCCGCGATCTCGATCTTACCATCAACGCCGGAGAGACGGTAGCCGTCTGCGGACGCACGGGAAGTGGGAAATCCTCTCTGGTGCTCCTGCTCCTCCGTCTTCTCAACCATCTTCCAGACTCCGACGGCGACATCACCATCGATTCCCTGCCCGCTAGCAAAATAGACAGAGACGTCCTCCGCCGCCGCATCATCGCTGTCTCCCAAGACCCCATCTTCCTTCCTGACGGCTCGACCATCCAGGACAACCTTGATCCGTTCGGTGAAGCAGATGAAGCAGAATGCAGGAGCGTTCTCGAACAAGTTGGGCTTTCCGCAGCAATCGAGGATCGCGGTGGCCTGTCTGCCGACCTTCCCTCAGAGGCTCTCAGCGCGGGCCAGAAGCAGCTCTTCTGCCTTGCGCGGGCCGTTCTCCGCCGCCGTGTCAGGGGGCGCAACGGTGCCGAGGGTGGCATCCTCCTTCTCGACGAGGTCTCGTCAAGCGTCGACAAGGCCACCGAGGTGGAGATGCACAATGTCATCTCACGTGAGTTCAAGGGGTACACCGTCATCATGGTGTCTCACCGGCTGGACACTGTGATGGATTGTGATACCATCGTGGTCATGGACAAGGGGCGCGTGGTAGAGAAGGGCGAGCCAGGTGTATTGAAGGATCAGGAGGGCGGTGTATTTAGGGAGCTTTGGAACGCCAGCAGGACATCCGAGGAGTGATGAACGTGTTGGAACGTAAGGACATGGATTGCAATGTTGACCTTGGCTTCTCGGAGTGAGAGGCTGTGATAACCTCAACTCAATGACTTGGAGAGGTGGTGTGAGCCGGCTGTATTGTTGATGAGACTATGTACAATTTTGAGTCAAGACCTTCGTCGCCATATTGCTATTTTGAAGTGAGATTAATGCTCATAGCCATTACCATGGCTCGCTGAACATTGCCAAGTCATCGGTGGCTATCCTTCAGATGTCCATCTTAGCAATTGCAACCAAAGACCTTCTCTATTTCCAAGTTGAACGGCTACTCCTTCCTCGCCTCGAGACTCTGGAAACTTCCAGGTACGGAAAGCACGTGGACCGCGAGTGCCTCAGTCGGCACGGGAGCTCTTGCCTCTGACCGCCCTCCCGCACTTGCTTCTTCCCGTGGAAAGGGACAGAGCTGCTAATGCTCCTTCCGCTTCAACACACGCAAAGCTCTGACCGACAGTTGCCTGCGTCAAAACCTTCTCACTTCCATCTTGGGGGCCGTCCTGCCTTGGCGGAAACAAACTCAGGAACCCCCGGCCTCGATGGCACAGCATCGACGTCATGCCTGCCCTGATAAGGCTTCGGAGTTTCCTATCATCATCATCTAAACTGTCAATCTGAGGGAAAAAGTCAATCACTCCAGCCAAAGGGACGAACATCGCAAAGGACCTGACTCTTGCAAAGTCGCAAAAGTCCATGGTTTAATCTCGATTCATCGAGCGATCCCGTGTCAACCTGCCCAGAGCGGAAGAAGAGCAGCTCCCGGTAACGTCATGGCATTCCAATGATGTGCAGTACACCACACTGACGGGAAGAGAAAAAAGGGGTCTGCCAGGCCCCGGTGCGACCGTGCAACCGATGTCAGACGGCTGCCGGGCTTGTCGCTCGGCCAGGGGTTTGGGAGATCATGTTCATGGTGGTGTTGGGCAAACGGGCTGGCTGGCTGCGAATAGCTGGGGAGCGCAAGCGCGGAAGCTTGCTCTCGAACCGTTTCCGCGGGGAAGACAGGCCGTCTCACACACACACCAACGCACCAACACACCAACACCGGCACACTCGCGTTCCTTTCGCTTCGGGTGCGGGCGATCACTGGCAAATCCCCCTTAAACGTCACGGAACGTTTGGGACAGAGGAATGGGAAAGGGATCGTCGAAAGGGTGCGCAATTTACGCGAGGGGGAGACTGAACCGACCGGCGCGCCGTTCTTGGTTGCACGGATCGGCAGTCGGGCAGGACACACATCCCAACGTCGTCCGTCCGTTATCCGTAACAACCTGCCATCTCGAGCAATTTCTCCTTTCTTTCAATCTCTGGTTGGGAACGAGGTTTTGCTTTTCCTGAACCCTCAGACCGGACGATGGGAAGGCGTTCCCGGGAGGACATCCGTCGTCTTGGTTAGCTGGTCGGACAGCATACCCGGCCAGGATAAGGTGGCCATTGCAGATTGGCCACTTGGAATGAAGCGCACGGCTGAGCTGGAATGGGTGGTATGTCACTAGGCGGTGAGCAGCGGTCACCGACTGCGCCGACGAGGGATGCCGGTGCAGCGACGTCACATGCTGAGCGCCCTGCAGACGTGCAGAGTGCAGACGCCAGTTCACCTCTGTCGCTTCCTTCCTCCGCGATTGGGAGCCTGGCGAGTCAGCTCAGCTCAGCCAGTGGCCGTCGAGCAGTTGCGCCCAACCAACTCGGCTGGGAACCCCGGGATCGGAGGAGAAGGAGCTGTTTGCTCGGCGGAAGCTGGGAGCTCTCGCTGGCCAGTGTCAGCTACGCACTCCGACGACGAGCTGCCTGAGGCAATTTTGCATTCACATTCAATTGACAAACCGACCAATCACAAGACGGCGATAACGGCGCAAAAGCGACAGCCAATGGGCGAGGAGGACCCTGCATCGATTGATTAAGCGCAGGGATGATGAAGCATGGCATGCAGCAAGGATACCCTTTGGGGACAAGCGCGTCTGTGCTCGTCGAAAAGTGGTCCGTTATCTCGATTCGCGGCGCCCGATTGTCCACTCCCAGCAAGACGGATCGCTGGGGACGGGACTGGCTGGCAAGACTGGAATTCACGGCGCTGTCTCGTCTTCGTTTGCTGCTGCTGCGAGGCACCGAGCCAGAAATCCCCTCACTCACTGCCGATGCGACCCCAATCCAAAACTCACCGACTTTAACCCACAAGGCGGACGGGACGGCATGCGGCCACCAGTGCACCACCAACCATCAACACGGCACATCTTGCTGGCCTGGCCTGATTCTGATTCTCCCTCTGTGATTATCGCTGAAACCAAAACTCGATAACACCCCGTCGCCACCAGCCCCTTCCCCATTCCCAGCCCTGGCTCTCTCTCGCAGATGAGGCTCGTTTAACGACGACATGTCTCATTTGGGATCATCTGGGGAAGACCACGTCCCTCGCACGTGAGAGATATCCGCTGTAGGGATGATGGCGGCAACTTGGCAGACCACGACCTTGGGATCCCGGACTTGTCTTGCCTCCAACCGTACCGCTGGCAGCGAGGCGCGAAGCTGGGCAAAAGGAGCGACTGGCCGTTTGGGAGAGACGATGCAAGTAGATTTTCTTTTTCCTCGCTCTGCTGCCGCCACCCAGACAGAGTCTTGCACCCACGGTACCCGCCGTTTTTCTGCGGCAAGCCTGTTGAAAACTGGCCTGCCACCTGCCCGGCTGTGGGCTTCTCTCGGCCGGCAACACCCACGAATGCACTGAACTCTGAACCGACGATCAAGCGCCCAATCATCTTACAGGGATAACGGGGCGGAATGTCGGTGTCCCATTCGGAAACCTGTCCATGCCAGTCGTGTCAGTGTGCAGCATCTGCTTGACCAATTCTCAGTCTTTGTCGCATCCATTCCGTGGCTCTGTCAGCGTCGCAGCCGCGGTCTACAGAACGTCCTTTGTGTGTTTCGCCTCCTCGTCAAAGCCTCGTCGGGGCTGTCTCTGGCCGGCGGCGGTTTGACGGACCTCGGCCGGACGTTGCTGTCGAAAGAGGATGAGGACCGAAGCCAGAGCCGCCGAGGGGGACGGGATGGCGCGGTGGGGTCGGCCAGATTCCGGGGACACTCCAGTCTTTTTTCTGCTGCGTGAAATCGCGCTCTGCAAGCCCATGGATGCTGTTAATGCCTAGCGCTTCGGCGACAGCGAAGAGATGCCACTGGCCACCTGCAGCAACGAACAGACCGTCGTCGCGAGGCTGTGGCAAAAGAAGGGGAACAACCGCGCACTGCACTCTCCCACTCAAACCCCATCAATGCTGCGCAGCGGTCTTGCTTGCTGGGATCCCCGCCACTGAATTCTGTGCGTTCGGGCGAGGCGGCAGGGCCACGAGCGGCCAGCCTGTCGTCTTGGTCGCAACTTCAGGCTGGTGCCACCAAAAACCACGACGACGCGCCGTCGTGGGCGGGGCCTCTCAGCAACCTATTTGCAAATGCCAAGTCAAAGCGAACCCACAAACGGCCCTCATCTCCAGGCTTCTGGAGGCGTTCTGGAGGCAGTGGAGCTCCTCGAGGTCCAGAGGTGGGCTGTCTGTCACTCTGCGGACAAGTTCCACCCCTGGGAGCTGGGCGGCTGGCGAGCGTGGCGAGCTGTTGTCTCTGTTGAAGGTTTTGGGTCCTGCACGATCTTCTTCATTCGGGTCCAGCTCCATCCCCATCCCCATCTCCAGCTGGCCTCTGCTTTCGCTTCGCTTCGCCTTCAGAGGCTTGTTGATGGGCTCGGCTCCGCCAAATCTCCATCGGACGCAGGAATCTCCCTGCGCAGGCACAATCTCCCTCACCATCGGACGGCTGAGGACGGTGGGGTAGCGACGTCGATATCTGTTCAGCTTCGCTCAGTTGTCAGGTTTCGACAGCATATCTTTCGTCCGTGGCTGGATTGGCTCTTGCTGTTCCAGGAATTTGATGGGCACGGAACGAGATCTCTGAGCGTCAACGTTGCACAACCTGCGTCATATTCACTGCTTGACCTGACTCGGGCCCTTCTCCACGGACCCTGACTACTGAGAGTTTGTTTGGTTCGGTACGTTGCGTGCGGTACTCGTTCGGAGTCTCTGCGAACGCAGACAACGGCGAATGAGCTAGCGAGCAAAACTCCCGTCCTTCTGGCCGACGCCTCAGATCTCAGCTGCCTCAGTGGCCGGGAACCAAATCTCAATTGGCGTTATTGAGCATGAGATCAGTGTGGATAGTGTCACCGAAGAAGCAGCGGCTGCTCAGGAGATTTGCCCACGAACTACGCTGCCGCTAGAGCAAGTCATGCCGAAGCCATCAGGTTCCGTTATGTGGGCAAAAACCGCCACTCGACGGCTGTCGGCTGCCAGCTGCAGTGCGTCCCGTCGAGTCGTTGCAATCCGCAGCAGCGCAGCTCAGCGGCCACCGCAGGCGTTGTGCAGCGCAAATGCCCTCAGACATTGCCATGTGGTTATCGCCCGCCGTAAATAGCACGCGAGGATGCTGTGCCACCCACCCCGCCATTTGCCCCCGTTGACAACTGACGGGACGCTTGCGGCGTGCGATGGGTGCAGCTAATTGCACTCACAGGACAGACCGCCTGGCAACCACATCCAAAAGTCAACAATAAGGAGCATCAATGATCAAGCCTCTTGGCTGGAGAGGAGGAGGCCAACCAGGCAAAACCCACCGAAGCTGCCCAGCCAGTCCCGGCCAGCACAGCCAGCGACCAGACGAACAACGGGCAGCCAACTGGGGAGGCTGGAGATCGGAGGAAAGCGAGTCGCGGCGATTGGAAATGAACAGCGTTCGTCTGGTCCAGTGAGCCAGTGTCAGTGGAGGACGGGTCTCCACATTATGGGGAGAAGACGCCCCCGGCTGGATGGCCCAATGCAGCAATTGAGCAGATGGGCGGTGGGTTTGGAGGGGAGAGACACTGAGGCTTGTGTTGTGGACGTTGGCCGCGGTCCCTCACGTCACGGACTGTGGACGCCCAGCGCCCTCCACGT